AGGGAGTCCTTCCCTCCCTTGGGAGGGCACAGACCAAGGGCCCAGCAGGTGAAGAGCTTCCTGACAGTCCTTTGGAGCTGCCAAACTTTGGTGGGAAGGGGCTGCTCTGAGGGCCGTGGGCTCCCGTTCCCTGGAACCCCACGTGATGTTGACCATTTGACGTCGTATTTAGCAACTGGGCAGGAGATGCCCTTCCAACTCTGACATTCCAAGAATCTGAACTGCTGTGATTAAAAACTCTGGAATATTCTGAAATACCACTGATTCTACCATTTTAGGATTTGATTTAACCTAACTCTGCAAGGCGTCTCAGCACCCCTGTTTGCTCTAACCTGCTCAGGAGGAGAATGGTGACAAGGATCCCTTCCTGGTGACAGACAAGCTTCCAATGAGGAGGGTTCTTTAGGCAGAGTCACAAGTGATGGCCCTGCCCCCAAGAGCTACACAGTTAAGGCAGCGGAAGTGGGTACGATCGCAGGTGGGAGTGGTCAGGTGGGAGCTGGAGGTATCTCTTGGTGACAGAAAGAAGCAGAAGGCAGGAGGCCCGGTAGGTGGGTCCCCCAGCCTGGCCAGCCCCCCATCTTCCTACTGGCTCAGGACACAGGCTGGGAAGTGCCTGGGATCAGCAGGGCGCCACAGGAATGCACAACGGGGAACGGTGCCCAGCAGAGGCCTCCTTCCCTGGCCCAACTGAGAAGAGCCCCCACCCCTTTGAATCTCTCTGCACAGCCTGTCTTTGTGTGTGCACACACACACACACACACACACACACACACAGCCTGAGACACACTGACTCACGCAGCCACATACCAGGCTACAAACCCACACAAGAGCCTCCTTCCCCTCCTTGCCCAAGCCCCTCACTCACCGAGGGCCTTCCCCCTCCCCTCGGACCCACAGGGCTGCCCACATGGGGCAGGACAGACCCTCGCTCCTTCTCCCCACTGTCTGACGGATTCCGGGCTGGGGCTCAGCAGGCACAGCGTGGGGGGGAGGCCCACAGCTGGCCAGGCGTTTTCCCAGCCCCTGTCACTCTGCAGGTCCCCCCTCCACCCCAGCTCTGAGTCTGTGGGAACCAGACAGTTGGGGCTGTCCAGCCGGGCTCGCTTCCTCCCAGGCCCCAGGGGACCTGCGGAGGGAGGAGGGAGCAGCAGGGGCTGAAGCCAGCGTGGCTGTCTGCCCGAAGGACGTCCTCCGGGACTGGGCTGCCTGCCCGAGAGGGGCCTCCAGCCCCCTGGGTGTCACCTCATGGGACATAAGACCCTCCAGGCCCCATGCAAAAGAGCAGAATATAGGTGCCCCCGGCATCCTGGCCTCTCTGCAAACACCCGTGATCCAGACGGGAGGACTGAGGCTCTGGGGAGGAAGCCATTTGCCTCTGCTCCTCCAACTCTTGGGAGCTGCGGGGACAGTGAGGTTTCAGGTTCTATGTCTGTTCCTCTGAGGAGGATGAATACCCCCATTTCTCCTGCTTCCACAAAGGGGGTAGCTAGAGAAGGTCAAAGGTCAGGGCTTAGTCACTTTCGATCTGTACCCAGGACAGCCACAGACCCTGTCCCTGTCCTGAGAGAAATGCTTTCTGCAAGAGTCACCAGAAGACCTTGGAGAGCTGGGGCTCGGGGGGTGGTGGGTCCCCATTAGTGTGGGAAATGCAAAGAAGGGGATAGGTACTGCCTCTTGGGCCTTGGGTTCCCAGCCTGCACAGCACTAAGGGCTGCCTTTTTAGACTTGGCATTCAGGATTTAAACAAAGCCCTCCCTCTGGGGCACCGCCAGCTCTGCTCCAACTGTGGTCTCCACCCCTGCGTCCTCGCTCAAACTTCAGGTCCGGGGCTGGAGAGTAGAGCCACACAGACATGGTTTGATTTCTCCTCTGCACTCATGTGCCAGCTGGAGCTGGGGCTAGTGTGCCCCCAACGCCTGAGCCTCAGTTTCCACTGCTGGAAACAGGGCTAACATTCCACATCACACAGGTGAGATGATACGTACAAGCCAGGACCGAATAAATGCCACACATGGTCACGGTTATTGTGACTGCTCATAATGGGGGACGCTGAGCCTCAGAGTTTGGGGCAGGAGAGTTAGGCCAGCCCAGCCTCACCCTGTGCCGGTCTCTCTCGGTTGCATCCCTCCTCCCCCAATTCCCTGCCTCCCCCTCCTCTGCTTTCCTGGGAAACTCCCCGAGAAAGTCCCCAGCAGGAGAAAGCCTCATGTGAGATGCTTCCATCTGGGTGCCGGCCTCTGCCGCATAGCCCCACAGCCACAGCCCCCAGCCCGAACCTGGCGTCCCAGCCTCGGCCCCGACCATCCAGCAAGCTGAGCTCATCATCACATTGCCTTTATTGGCCCTGAGAGCCACAGAGTCACTCCCAAGGGACCCACTTCCCCTCACCCCCAGGTGCGTGCAGAGGCCCCGGGGCCTGGCTGAATGCTCTGCCCGCGCTTGGCTTCTCTCCCGGCTCTCGGTCCTGGTTGTCCTCGGCATGCCAGGGCTGGGTCCTTCGAGAGCTCTCCAGGTCCCAGAGCCAAGCTCGACCTGGAGGGTGCAGTTGGCAGGACCCCTGCAGGGACCGCCTGAGGCGAGGCTGCCTTCACTCAAAGAAGAACATTCCTGGCGTCCGGTATAAGCAGGGTGTCAGCCCCAGTTGGTAGCCAGAGCCTCCCTGGACAGGGAAGCCACCTGCAGCCCAGGGTTCCTTGGGGTCAGCTGGCAGGGGCAGTGGGGCCCGGAGTGAGGCTGGAGGAGTAGGTGGTGCAGGGGAGGGGTCTGCCGAGGCCAAGAGGTGCTCAAGGCCTGGGTCGGCCCCCACGCAGAAATTCAGCGCCTGCAGCCGGCACTGGTAGCTGCTCCCGGTGCCTGGCTCGGGGGTCAAGGCAGGTGTAGGGGCCTTGTTGAAACTGTCGGCCTGAGAGAAGCCAGCAGGAAAGCCAAACGCTGGGCATGGGGAAGCCGAGGTGGCCGCGGGGAGCTCCCCTGGGCCTGCAGGCTTGGGCATGGAAATCTCTTTGGGCTCCGTGGGTGGCCGAGGCCTGGCATCGGGAGTTGCTGGGCACGTGCTGACTGGCAAGTCCCCTGCCAGACCCCCAAAGCTTGGGCCCTTGGGGTCTGGCAGCTCTGATGGGAATGGGCACTGTTTGCCGGTCGTAGTGTTGGGGACCCTCGGGTCCTGACTGGTCGCTCTGAGGGGTCCGCGGCGTGCCTTGGCAGGGCCCTTGGTCCCCTCAGCACCTGTCCGCCTGGTGAATCGGCGGCGTCGTCGCAGGAAGCTGCCGTGCTCGAACATGTCGTGGCAGTCGGGGTCCAGTGTCCAGTAGCTGCCCTTGCCTGGCTTGCGGTCATCACGGGGCACCTTGACAAAGCACTCGTTGAGTGACAGGTTGTGGCGGATGCTGTTCTGCCAGCCAGGCCGGTTGTGGCGGTAGAAGGCGAAGCGGCCCATGATGTAGTGGTAGATGCCACTGAGGGTGGCCCGCTGCCCAGGCGAGCTCTGGATGGCCATGGCAATGAGGGCTATGTAGCTGTAGGGAGGCTTGGTCGGCTCGGCGGCAGGGGCCCGGGGCCCGGGCGGGGGCTGCTGCTGCATGCTGGCCGGGCTGGCCGGGCTGCGAGGACCAGAGGGGCCAGGCACGGTGTCCAGGGCTGGTGTCCGGAACAGCCAGCCCAGGCTGCTTAAAAGGCCCACTGGCCCAGCCTCCCAGCCTGGAAAGGCAAAAAGGGGTGGGCCCGCCAGGCTGCCCTCCCTTCCTCCCTCACCCCACTCCTCCAAGGCCCAGGAGAGGCGGGCAGGGAGGCCAGGACTGGGAAGCTGAGCACCTGCTGGGGCTGAGGAGGTGGGAGGGAAGGGACGGAGACCCTCAGCCCACGTGTGCTGCGGGATGGCGGCTGGGAGGGACAGGATGTGAAACTGAGCAGGACAGAGACAGAAACCAGAAGAGATAGAGGCAGAAACGTAAAGAAACAGAGACAGGGGGAGAGACAGAGACAGAGAGAGGGAGAGACATAAAGAGACAAACAAAGATAAGACAGAGACAAGCAAAACGGACAGAGACACGCAGAGCCAGAGACACACACACAGCTAAGGTATGGAGAAATTCAGACTCACTGAGACAAACGGAGAAATCCACAGAGAGAGAGAAAGGAGATACGGAGGGAGACAGGTCCACAAGGAGGGGCAGAGAGAGCAGAGAGAGCGGAGCCTGAGCCCAGTCCTAGAAAAGCCCTGGGGGCCTCTAGTCCCCCTTGCCCCTCTCCTCCTCCCAGGCCAGTGGGCTGCTTTCTCCTCCCGGCAGGGAAGAGCCCTTGGGGCCCCACTGCTCCCTGCCCTCCCAGCACTGGGGTGTCTGCGGGGAGAGGTGCCGGGAAGCAGGACGAAGGCCAGTGAGACCCAGTTCTGCCCAGCCCCTGGGGCCCCCCAGTGACTAGCGTGGGGAGGGCAGCCATTGGGGTAGAGACATCCCCCCTCCCAAGGGGCATCTCAAGACCTTGGCTGAGCCTCAGTTTCCCCATCTCTAAAATGGAGCTGGCAACTCCTCAGCTGTCCAGGCCATAGTAAGGAGGCAACAGGTTTCCTTACACAGAATCCAGCACCCTTGGAGAGCCTAGCACAGAGTAGGGGTTTGAACATAGCTGTGGACTGTCACTCTTAACTGAGGCTACCCCTTGGGCTGGGAGGTACAGCAAAGCCCAGAACAGACAGTCAGGCCTTCTGAAGGACAGGGCAGCATCCTCCCTGCTCTCACGCTCCCAAGTCAGTGGTCACCTACTCTGTGCCAGGCCAGCTCGCAACCCCCTGCCACCCCCCTGCCCACTTACTCCTCTGACCAACCCTGCTCCAGAGACCTTCATAGCTTCTTTTGAATAGAAGAGAGCTCTGAGGCTCAGAGAAGTTGAATAATTTGCCTGAGGACCCACAGCTAGCTAGTGACAAAGCCGAGATTAGAACCCAAGATTCTGTAATTCTTTAACGCCACTCCTTCTGTGAGGGGCAGGGGGAGGGGACAGTCACTAGATCCTCACTGGAAAACAGAATGTGAACCCTAAGAGTGCAGGGATCATGCTGTTTTGCTCGATCTCCAGTGTCCCACACTGGACACTGGAACGGAGGCCTGGAACAGAGTAGTTGCTCAATAAATGTCTGTTAAATGATTAAAAAAGAACCCCAGCAACTGACCGACTTCTGTCCTTTGTTGAATCATACAGTTTTCCCCCCGTAAAATGGTTTATTCATGTATCACTAAAAGGGATTTATTATATTGGCATCCAGAAGAAGATTCCTATAAATAAAGTCAGAAATCAGAAAAGGAAAAAAGGTCTAATAACTTTACTCATAAGCCAGGGGGAACCGGCTTTATGCTTGTGCCTCAAACCTGGATTCTCAAGGATTCATTGCAACTTACACTTTGCAAAGATCAGGGGGGGCTTGGAGAGGGGCTGGACTCCTACTTTAGCCTCTGCCTTAGGGCTGTGTTTTGGGGCCTGCCTCAGTTTCTCCAAAGACAGTGTCCTACAGGTGCTGGCCATTCAATGGTTAGCATCCAAAGCCCAGGGTTCAGATCAAGTCCTCAGTTTGGGGACCCTCTCTAGTCCCCCAAATAAAGAAGAGAGATTAGTGGCAGGGGATAGGAAGGGTTTGGAAACTCAGGGCCCCTCCCAGGCCAGGCAATTTTGTTACTGGGTGGCCCTGCTCTAAACCCTGAGGATCTAACTGTCGTACACTCAGCTATAAGCAAACGCTGCAATGGGCTCAATGCAGGTTAAGGCACGCTCTAAGTAAGCCGCTATTTGCATGTTGTGTTCTCCACAAAGGATGAAGTCTTGCTTCTGCCCCAGTTGCTGCATTTCCGGGGCCTCAAGACCGAGTTCCGTTTCCCGCTGACGCCCCAGGCCCAGCGGCCCGGCGGTGCCGCCTACTGGCCGGTCCGGGGCTCCATCCCCGCTGCAGAGAGGTCGAGGCACGATTGGCTTCCGCTGTCCCGCCAACCTGGGCGACAGGTGGGAGAGGCCCCAACTCCACTGGCTCAGTGTGTGCAGGGCTGGGTTAGGGGTAGGGGTCCGCAACCTGTAGGGGGCTGCCTTAGCAGGAGGAAGCGACTCAGCTGCGTCAGAAGGTGGGTGACGCCGTCGGGGACGCCAGGCTAAGGACCCGGCAGGGCGCGGGAGCCCAGGCGCTTCGAGTGCAGGAGGAGCTCTCGGGCGAAGACAGGTTCCACCTGCGGGGGGGGGGGGGGGGGGTGGGGCAATGAGCCTTCCGCCTCCAGCATTTTAGGTGGGAAGTCATAGCCCTAGTGACAGCCCCTCCCCACCCCCATTTTTCAGGTAGGGTCATACAGCAGGTCGGGGGCGCAGCTGAGACTGGGAGGAGTTGGTGAGGGGCTCTGAAAGAAAACTGGAGGCTCTGGTTCTCTGCCGGAGTAGGGGAGGGACTTACGTGTGCCATGAGGAGCCGCTCTTCGGGCTGGTCCGGAGGGCCCGGGTACTCCTCGCCAAAGCACAGACGGATCTGGTACTCTGGCTCCGGGTGACCATCCTGCAGGTGGGCGCGTAGTTCTACGGGCACCGAGACTGTGGGGGCTGGGCCAAGAGCTAGGCCTCCCACCCAGGCATCCCATCCCACCTTGTGCTCACATCCCATGCCCGAGCCCTGTACGCCCACATCCCCACTGTGTTCCTGTGCCCTTTACCCACTTCCACGCCCCTATGCCTGTCCCACGTCCCACGTCTGTGCCCACTTCCAGTGCTCATGTCCTTTGCCTGGTGCGCCTATGCCCTCTCCCACGCTTTATGCCCATCCTATGCCACTGCCACTCGCCTATGCCTACCTCGTGCCCAGAGCACCTGATGCCCACCCTATGCCCAGAGCCCCTATGCCAACACACGTATCCAAGTCCTTTGCTTGCGCCCCACACGCAATGCCCCAAGCCTGCCTCTGGCGCCTACACCCCCTATGCGCCTATATCCATATCTGTGCCCAGCCCTTTCCCATTCCGATGCTCCTGTGCCATAGCCTTTGTTTACGTGCCTATCCCATGCCTACCACCCTTAAGCCCGTTCCCCTGCGCCCGCATCTCATGTACCCACTCTCCTCTGTCCACATTCCTTTGCCCACCTCATGCCCACGCCCCCTGTGCCCTCGCCACTCTGCCTCGCTCTGCCAGCTGCCCTACTGTCGCGCTCTTACCCTCCAGGAAGCGGCGCGCGTCGAGCAGCTGGCAGGTTTGCTCGCGCTCCAGCTTGTTGGGCTGCGCGCGGTGCGGGGCGAGCGGGCCACGCCAGTACACGCGGCCCTGGCACAGGCGCTTGGCGAACACGCCCTCGGGCGCCACCCACAGCAGCACGCCGCGCTCTAGGTGGCGCATCAGGCGCTGCAGCACGTGGGCGCCGGGCGGTGGCTCCGGGAAGCGGACTTGCGCGACGCGTGGGGGTGGCCCCAGCAGGCGCTCGGCGGCTGCGGTGGCGGCGGCCGCCTTCGGGCTCAGACAGCAGCCCTCGGCGGCGCGCGCGGTAGCTTCCCGCACCAGCGCCGCGCCGTAGAAGACCCGCACGTGCAGCCAGCAGCCTGCGGGCCCGGAGAGCGGGAGCGCGGGCCGGGGCGTTGGCGGCGCAGCCCTGCCCCATCCTTCCTCCCTTAACAACTGGGCAGGGGACCGGACGGTCCTTCCGGTCCTCACCTAGGGAATTTTTGGCGCTCCTTCCCAATCAGGGATAATACTAATTCTAGTAGTGGCAGTAGTAATAAACAATAGCTTCGAGTATAAACACACTTAGTTGAGCTCCGTGGTTAAAAGCATTAGCTTTGGGGCCATCTGTACAATGAGGGCATGACTTGGAGGCCATCCCAGCAAATACTCTGGGATTCTAGGAGCTTTCTCCCAGCAAAGATTTTAATGCTGGTAGAAGTAATAATAACAGCAACAACAGTGACAACAGCATAGCAGCATCCCACTGGAGGAGCCAGCAGCTCTATGGTTAGGGATGTGGGCTCAGCAGCTAGGACCTTGGATTCTCTTCTCTCACTGCCACTTGGGGGCTGTGACCTGTTAGCAACTTTCCCGGGGTTACTAGCTGTGCCACCTTGGGCAAGGTTCTTAACCTCTGTGTCTCGGTTTCTGCATGTGTACGTCGGGGATAACAGCATCATAGGGCTGTTGGAGGAGGGGGGCTCATGGAAGGATGCCTGACATACACTAAGCCTGCAGCAAACATTAGCTGTTGTGGTGGTTTACTGGCAGACTGGGTGGGAAACAGAGGCTAGCTGGCCCCAACCCTGGGTCCTGCCCAGTTCTGCACACTCGTCAGAGGGCAGGGCCTTTAGACTCCTTACCAGGGTTGCTGGATTCCTCAGAGGGCGTCGTGCTCCAGGGGTGTTTGGTGTCCCATGCCTGGTACCCTGGGAAAGGAGAGGAAGCAGTCAACCACCACCTCACCCCGGCCCCCGGAACCTCCAGGTCAAGGAGGAGGCGGGGAGGAGGCAGGGGTGGGTGAGGAGGCCCAGTCCTTACTGTGGTCAGCCAAAGGGCCTGGGAGGAAGGTGGCTGGTGGCAACGAGCCTTCCTGGGCCAGCCTAGGGGGCTGCTCCTTGTCCTCATCTGTGGCTAATCTGGAGCCATCCTGAGCATTGGGAGAGGGGGCCATTAGGGTGGGAGAAGAGACCTGTGGGTCAGAGAAGTTCCCAGACTGTCCCCACCAGGGCAGAGGGAGGTCTGGGCAGGCTGAAGGCCAGCTGGGGTTGATAGGAGCTTTAAAGCTTCAGAGTTTCAGAGCTTAAGCCCCCTGCCCCCCATGGAGGTAAAGAGAGAGTTGATGGGGGTGCTGTGGACAACAGCGTCAGAGTGGGTCACTGTGACAGGGAGAGGGTGCTGGGGGTAAATGCGGAGGTGACGGAGCCGGAGAAGGTAGACATGGGGGAACAGAGCCATGGGCCGGATGCTGATGGGGGCACGGGGACAGCAATGAGCCATCGATGATGGGGAGAGGTGGTGGGGTGGAGATGGGGGCTGTGACACAGAGCGGTGGAGACGGAGCTGATGGGGCTGATGGGAACAGTGAGGGAGGCAGAGGTGACAGGCTGGACTTCGTAGGGTGCATGGGGCAGAGTGATGGCCCCAACGATGGCGGCGGGGGGGGTGATCGTGGAGAAAATAGAGTAAGGGAACTGAAGCTGGTGGAGGGGAAGGGTGGGCTGCCCGTGGAGCAAGAGCTGGAGCAGAGGTGGGAAGAGGTGGGGCTGCCAAGAGGAGAGCAGCACTGGGGGTCAGGGCCGGACAGGGCAGGGCCAGTGGGTGGCTTGGGTGAGAGGTAACTGAGCTGGCAAGGCTGCAGAGGCTGGAGGGACACACCAACCTGGTCTGTCCCACAGACTGGTTCAGTCACTTCCCCAGGGGGCTCCTGCTGGCTGGAGGGAATGCCCCCCTCTTCAGCGGGATCACAGGCCTTGGCAACTGCATGGAACAAGAGACATGGGCCCCTCAACTGAGGTGACCTCAGGCAAGAGTACCCCAGCTTGTTGCATGGCCTCAGGCAAGGCCCACCTATCTCTGGGCCTCAGTTTCCTCCTTTTCAAATGGGGAGATAAACTGGGTGGTCTAAGGGTCCTTCTAAATTTACTAGCCCATGAGTTAAAGCTTGAGTCCCCCATTCTCCATTTTATAGATGAGCAAAGTGAGATCCTTGTTAACCAGAGAGCCACCCTTGGCCACTACCTCCAGGGGCAGGAGGGTACCTGGGCCATGGGCATCGCCAGACACAATCCTGTAGACCTTGTAGGGGTTGGAGATGTCCAGCTGGCTGCGTTCGCGCACCTCACAGAAGTCGGCACTCTTGTTGAGGGCACAGCGGAGCCGCGTCTTCCAGGTGGAGGGGTCCTCCCTGTCGGTGCCCTCCAGGTGCTTGCCCTTGTGCACGGCCCAGGCCTGGGGAGGGGCAGGGGTACTTGGGGAAGAATAGCCTGGGGTAGGGGCTGGGGCCTTGCAGGAGGGATGAGGGTCTGCCTTGCCCCCCACCCTCTCTCCCTCCTTCCTCCTCCTTCCCTCCCTCCCTCCAACACATGTTCTTTGAGCTCCTACTGTGTTCTCGGTCTGAGCCAGGGCTGGGGATTGAATGGGACACAAGACAGACACGGTTCCTGCTCTCAAGGAGCCCAAGTCTAGCGGGAGAAGACAGCTGCAATCAATTAAACAGAAATAACTATATTCCAAATTACGGATTGTGATAAATAAGAGAAAAAATAAATATGGTGATAGGATATAAAATAATAGCAGTCGTTTGCTGTCTAGAGAACCATAAGACTAAATCCCTACCTATTGCCAAACACAAAGGAGACTCCAGATGATTTAAAAAACCAAAGGTAAGAGGTAAAACTATAAAATTAATAGGCAATAATGTAGGAGAACACCTTCTAGGGGCAGAGAACACTTCTCACACAAAACCTAAAAGGCATGACCCACAAGACAAAAAATTACACTGTCTGAAATCAACAAGGGGCTGACATATAGAACATACAAGGAACTTGTGCAAATCAACAAGAAACAGAGAGCATTCTCTAAAGAGAAAATTCTTATCAAAGGATAGGAATTGGTGGCTTATGGAAGAGAAAACCAAAAGTCATGAGCATATGAGGAGGTGCTTAAACTCATTCGTACCAAAGAAATGCAAATAAAAATGTGAGCTATCACCAATAAGCTAAGTTTAGCAAGTTGGCTGATACCAGGAGTTGGCGGGGATGTGGTGTGGGGGAATGTGGCGGGGAGTTGCCGGTGGGTGTAGAATGGGTGCGGTGCTCCTGGCTGGTAATCTGGCATGCCTAGTTGAATTAAGTCGTATAAACACACCCTGTGAGCAAAAATCCCGATTCCCAATTCCAAAGGCATTCTCAGAGGGGCTCACAAGGGGAGACCTGGTCAAGGAAATCCATGGCAGCATTATTTGTGGCCTTGGGAGTTGGAAGCAAATTTGGGTCCAACCCTGGGAAAGTGAATGGGGGTGTGCATGTCATGGCTACCCACTATGGAGTCTATACAGCATCTAGAAGCATCTAGGAGCAAGAGATTAGATCTACAAGAACAGATCTTTAAAGCATGGTCATAAATAAAAAAAAAGTAAGACACAGAATGAGATGTACAACACGTGATGTGTATAAGATAAGAACACACACAAAACATCAACATACGAACCAAAGATATTTGTTAAATACATTGGAATGACTGTTTATTGTGGTGGAGGGAATAAATAAGTAAATAAATAAGAAAAATGAGGGGCTACTTTAGAGAGGGCTATCAGAAAAGGCTTCTTTGATGAGGTGACATTTGGGCTGAAGCATGAATGAAGAGAACGGAGTCTGACAAACTGAAGGTTTAGAGGAACAGCAAGTGCAAAGGGCCTGTAGTGGGAAAGAGATTGATAAATTCAGGCACGGCCAGCGTGGCTGGAGCAGTGTGGTCCAAGGGGAGGCCATCAGGAGATGTATTGCTACATTTATCACATTCAGGGCCAAGGGGGATTTAACTGATAAGTTGCACCAGTCATTGTCCTCAGAGACTCCAGGTCTAGTGGTAAACACAGACAGCAAAACAGAAAAGCCACAGTTCCTGTGTTAATGCCAGCCGTGAGACCTTTTGAGGCTTGATGTCGTTGTCTGTAAACATTTTCTGTAGGTGTTGATAACCACCTAACCTCACGTGGTTGTGGTGGGTGCAAGATGAGCTGGTGTGTGTAGAGTGCGCAGCACAGCGCCTGGCACACAGCCAGCGCTTATTCATTGCAGCACGTATTCATTGCATTAAGAATACTCAAAGGAATGAGAGCACAGGGCAGGGGGTACTGTCGTCATGGTAAGAGGAATCTTCGTTTCGTTCACTGCCGGGTGCCCAAACAACTAAAATGGTGCCTGGCCCACAGAGGATGTTTGAAAAATATTTGTTGAATGCACTGACCTGGGCCTTGAAGGTTGAGTAGGAAGTTGGGAGGTGGAGTGGCATTCCTGGCAGAGAGGATAGCTTGAGCAAAGGTCTGGAGGCGTGGAAGGCACGATGCATGCGGGGAACGGTGAGCAGCCGGGTGTTGCTGCTGCAGGGTGTGTGTGTCTGAGGGTACGTGTACAGTAGACTGTCATTGCTCAAGGTAGTTATATTCTATAGTCTCCACAAACACTGAACTAGAGAACACGGAACCATTGCTCCCAGGGGAAATACAGGGCTAGGTTCCTGCCAATCTCTGGTCACACTACTTTCATCAACCGATCAATACATAATCTTGCTTCATGTGTGTTTCTGTCTGAGGACGCTTTATTTAATATATACTGCTGATTCATTAACATTGAACTCATGGCCAACAGCACTACAGAGCATGCCCGAATGAAGCTTGTCTAACGTTGTTTTCCCCATACGGCACATCACAGCCTTCCTGCACTCAGGAATACTAGACAGCACTTCAGCATTATGCTTGAGGGTCATTCAAACAGTGAAATCACCAAGAAAAAGGATAGAAATATTTAAACATGTGGTGCTAAACAGACTGTGAAAAGGCCACTTGTTTACAGTACGGGAGCCAAAACAAGAAGGCAGGGAATTGCCTTGTTTGACCTCAGCTTCAAATGTTCCTGAAGGTCGACTTAGATTTTTGCCATTCTGTGTATAGCTATGAATGGACATGGAAGTGACTCAAGTATTGATTTTGGGATTACAAATAAATTGGAGCAAGTAGGAGAATTTGCAAATACAGAATCCTTGAATGAGGATAGACGGTATGTGGGGGAAAGGGAAGAGGAATTAAGGGAGAGGAGATAGGTTGAAGCCAGATCACGAATGTCCTTAAGGCCACGCTTTATCCCATGGGCTCTGGGGCACCAGAGGGTCTGACGCTAAGGAGTGACGCGTGTGTGCCGGCGGTGGGTTGGAGCAGCCAGCAGGGTGGGTAGAGCCAGTCTCCAGAATCTCTCACTTCTGACCAACAGCGCAGAAGTCTTAAGGGACAGGCCATGCAACCACCCATTCAACACTTATTGAGCACCTACTGTGTGCCAGGCACTGTGCTTGATGTCATTGCCACCCTCAAGCAGCTCCTGGTCTGCTGGAGGAGACAGACTCATACCAGGCACTTAAAATTCATAGAGAAAGCTGTTCCAATGAGCCTGTGCCTTGGACTTGGGAGAAGTACCGAACTGGAGCTTAATAAATGCACTCAATAAATGAATGCATCAGGGAAGGCTCTCTCGAAGAGATGTTTACACTGAGGATGGGGCAGTTGGCCAGGCAAAGGTGAAGAGGAGAGGTGTTGCAGGCAGAGGGGACAGCATGTGCAAAGGTCTAATGGTGACAAGGACAGGAAGCATTGAGAAACAGAAAGAACTGAAGTGGGGGAGGGGAGGGAGTGGAGAGAGAGATGAGGCGGGGGAGGGGCAGTTCGTGCATGGCTTCCAGGCCATGGTGAGGAGTTGGGACTTTTTCACAAGGACAGTAGGGAGCTGTGGAAAGATTTTGAGTAGGGGAGGATGGAGACCAGATTTGCATTTAGAACGATCCCCCTGGAGGACTGTGTGGATTGTCCAGGGATAGGGGGAAGCAGAGAGCCCAGTGAGGTCACTGCAGCTGTCCTGGGAGAGATGGAAGGAGTGGGTTCAAGTGGACGGACTGGAGAGATGTTCTGCAGGAAGAGCCAGCAGCAGGCCTTGGCCGTGGAGCAGACTGAGGTTGGAAGAGGGGGAGCGGCCAGGGTTCAGGTACGCAGGTGGCAGAAGTTTAAGGGAGTGAGCTGATGAGTGTGGTATTTGGGATGCTCTGGGGGGCACATGTGTTTGAGGGGCTGGGGGCCATCCAAGAGACAGCACCAGAAGGCAGTTAGACCAGCAGGCCTGAGGCTTGGAGGGAAGGCCCAGAGCCTCCATGCTGAGGCCATGGAGGCAGGAGAGTGGGACTTAGGTCCAGGTGTGAGTGCTGGGAGCCCCAACAACAGAGGGGATAGGATGGAGGCTGAGAACCAGGGGCCTGGGAGGGGGTTAGGAGGTGGGCAGCAGAGATTCGGGAAACTGGAAACCCAAGTGAGAATGTTTCAAGAAGGAGGGAGGGTCAAGTGAGAATGTTTCAAGAAGGAGGGAGGGTCCACCAGGTGCAGACCCACCCAGGAGTCAAGGAGGATGGAGGCAGCCATGCATCCTTGGATTTGGCAACTAAAGACATTAGCAGGAGGGACAGAAGCCAGACTGGGCATGGGGGTGGAGGATGGGGAGGGGTAGGAGAGAGGGGTGCTTCACACTGTGAAAGGAGAGGGAGGCCAGGGAGGAGGGGCTGCAGGTCACTGTGGTGCTAGGGGTGGTGGTGGCAGCGGCCTGATGGTGGTTTGTTGTTTATTGCTCGGAAGAGAGGTTCTAGAATTTAAACGTTCGTGGAAAAGGAGCCAGTTTAGAAAAAGTTAAGGATAACTGGGGAAGGGGAGATCATTCCTGCAGGGGGTTCTGATAAGGGCTGGTCTTGGGAGCACAGAAAAGGTCCCCAGGCTGCAGAGGTTGGCGGTTTGGGGCGTGGGAGGTTGAGGGAACTTGCACTCGTGCTGTCTCATTGTGCGGGGGTGGGGGGGGGAGGGGGAGGCCCTCTGAGAGGTGGGGGTGGGGCAGGTCATGACAGTCTTGGCTGATGCTATTGGAAGAGGGTCTCTGAGGGTCTCCCATATGTGGAGAACACGACCCTCAATCCTGGAGGCCAGCAAGTAGCCCAAGGTCACATAGCTGTTTGTTGGTCCGGGTGCTGGGACTGTGAGCCTACCCCCAGGGCTGGGTGACCCCGGTTCCCTGTCCCCTTACCCTGAAGAGCGCTGCATCCTGCTGTGCCTGGTAGCCCTGCTTGGCTACGTGCTTCCAGGGGATGCGGAAGAGGGTCTTGCCCGCGTCCTCCCAGTGCAACCCCAGGTAGCGCCCACTCTCGATCTGTGCCACCAGCCAGTCACGAAGGCGCAGGGGACCTCCGGCTCCTGCTGTGGGTCGCCTGCTGTCATTGGAGACTTTCCCCCGCTTCTTCCTCCGACAGGGGCTGCTGGCCATTGGGAATGCAGTGCGCTGGGGGCCAAGTCCTGGGCTCACAGCAGCTGGACCTGTGTAGGCTGGGGATCACCGGGCCACCTGGATGGTGCTCGGAGGCGACGAAAGTGAAAGTCTGGGTGGTCGGGTTTCACTTTCCATTCTGTTCCCTCTCCCGGGAGGCCCTTTCCTTTTGCCCCTCCCCCTGGCAACCTGGCTGGGCCTCTCCTGGCGGGGGACAGGCGCTGTGGGACACAAGACCTGCAGTAGCATACCGGGCTGGTAGGAGGATGGACACCCAGAGACGTGACCTTCCCCATCCCTGCACCTGTTATCTGCTCTTCCCAGCCCACCTGGAAACTTGTCAGTCTCTTCAGGAGCTGGACCGTTGAGGTTTGACAGGCACAGACCTTCTCAAACCAACTCCTGCCAGATTTGGGAGGCAGCGACTGGTTTCAAATGCACACTCATGACCTCCGTCCCAGACCTGCAGAATCGGACTTTCTGGGCAGGAAGCCCAGGAAACCACATTTTAATGAGTTCTCCCATGGGGTTCCGATGCAGGTGGTCGATGGGCCACACTTAATTCCTTTAATATGCGGGGTCTCCACGTACTGACTGCTCATCACAGGTCCCAGGCCTGGCCGAACACTTTTCTACAGCGTCTCAATGGGTTCTCACAACAGCAAAAGAGGCACGTATAATGACCTATTTTAATGTTAATAAGACTGGGCTTCAGAGAGGTTGAAGCCCTATAATGAGGTCACACATGGAGCTAGTGGGGGTGGAGGTGGGGGTGGGAGCCAGGATCCAAAGTGTGTATGTCTGCTCCCTAGAGCCCAGGAGCCTAAACAGTGCCCACACTGCTTCCTGACAGCCACACTTGAAGTTTATGTATTCTTGGGGGAGGTCTGTGTCCCCCAGAAAGTGTATGTAAATTGTTCTTGTCTATGCATTTTTCTGGGATTTGTATCTTTCATTGAATCATCAAAAGGGATTTGTGATATGAAAGAGGTCAAGTTGCTCAGACTGCTCCACGCCTTGCTGTGTACATGGGGAAACTGAGGCTCTGAGAGAGAAACCCCCTGCCCCCCACACTCTGCTGGGCACAGAGGTGGGTGCCCAGCCAGCACTGACCAGAGGCTGGAAGCACCCTCCCTCATGTGCACCTGTTGGGAGGGCTTTCTTCCTGTTCCTCCCCTCCCCCCACCCCCATATTCCAGCAGCCACCAATTCTGACACTTCTACAGCCATGGCTGCAATTCAAACTCAGGCCTTATAAGGCTCTAATGGGACCCAGGGCATTTCATATGATTAAATACAAGAGTAATAATTACACCTAGGCACGAGTCTTGAGAGTGTCAGATGATCCTTCACTTTTCTAAGTCGCAGAGGGCACTAAGTAAGAGGCTTGGGTCTGCGGCCAGACTTCCTGAACTGCCATCCCAGCTCCACCGCTTGCTAGCTGGTGACCTTGGGCACCAGCCTCAGATTCCTCACGAGTTAAATGGCAGCACCTATCCCTAGGGCTATGTGAGAATCAAGGTGAGGCAGGTGAAGTGTTTAGCGCAGTGCCTGGAGTGAGTGCTCGGTGGTGAGCGGTGCACTGCTGCGGAGTCCCAGTGTGGTGAGGGAAATGCCGGAAGTGGAGTGGGAACATCCCGAAGGACCTGGAACCTTGGACCAAGGGGCCTTGTTTTGCCCTGTAAATGATGGGGGCCATGGAGGCTTTTAAGTAGAGGAGGACACCATCAGAGGTAGAAAGGTGTTTTAAACCAGGTGGATGGCGGTGCCACCAACCGGGCCGGAAGACCGCAGGCTCCCTGCACTCTTGTGAGTCCAGCCACCTTGTTCCTCACACTCGATCCTGACTCAGGGCCTGTTCACTTAATGTTCTCTCTGCCTGGAATGCTTCCCCCAGATAGCAAAATGGACCACTCCCTCACCTCCCTTCGTATTTTTTGTTTATCTGCTTATCTGGTGTCTTCCCTCCCAGAATGTCAGTGACACGAAGGCAGAGGTTTTGCTCACTGCTGTATCCCCAGTGCCCAGCACAATGGCTGGCACACAGCAGGTGCTCAATGGACATCTTTTTTTTTTGAGACAGAGTCTCACTCTGTTGCCCTGGCTAGAGTGAGTGCCGTGGCGTCAGCCTAGCTAACAGCAACCTCAAACTCCTGGGCTTAAGCGATCCTTCTGCCTCAGCCTCCCGAGTAGCTGGGACTACAGGCATGCGCCACCATGCCCAGCTAATTTTTTCTATATAGTTTTTAGTTGTCCAATTAATTTCTTTCTATTTTTAGTAGAGATGGGGGTCTCATTCTTGCTCAGGCTGGTCTCAAACTCCTGAGCTCAAACGATCCGCCCGCCTTGGCCTCCCAGAGTGCTGGGATTACAGGCGTGAGCCACCATGCCTGGCCTCAATGGACATTTGTTGAACGAATGAGGAGTAGGAGGTTGGGGCAGTAGGTGAAGGTTATTTTGTCCATTCCCCCACCCCAATGCCGGAGTCTGTGCCTCCCCCATAGCCCTGAGCACTGTGCTTGGTATATAATAAGAACCCCATACAAGTGGCTGTTGGGTTATAGCTATTTTAGGCCCCTCTCAACTTCGGGTTGATTTCAGCTTAGGAAAAATCAGCTCCAATGACCTCTATTCATCCTTGGAGTCAGTTGCTGCTTTGTTGAGCTGCCCATGCCTTTAAACTGTTGGTGGGAAGGGTCATTCCCTCTGGCTGGGGGTGGATACTCCTTGCCAGTAACCTCCCAAACCAGAAGGAGCTGCTTCCATCATGGGACTCAGACTGACTAAGTTCACATCCAGCCTCCCTTATTCTAGCTGTGTGTCCCTGGGCAAGCTGCCTAACCTCTCTGAGCTTCAGTTTCCTCCCGAGGAGTAAGTGAACTCATGCAGTAAAAGGCCAGGTGTGAGAAAGCACAACCTTATCTTACTAGCTAGTATTTGTGCATAGGAAAAGGCAGGGAGTTGGGGAGGAGGAGGGCGCTCAGGGAGGGGAGAGGCCCTCAGGGAGGAGGAGAGGGGCTCAGAAGGTGGAAGGGGGTTCAGAGAGGAGGGGCTTGGGGGCCTTGTCAGGAGATCATGGCTCCGGGAGAGATGCGGGGGTGGGGAGGTGTTAGAGAAGCGGGTGGTCCCCGAATTCAACTCTGCAGACTGCAGTTAATGGAGGGTGGTGGGCTCCTCAAGCCCCTAGGGGATGCGCACTCCCTCCCATCCCCCTTCCCGCAGGCTCCACGCCCCTGGTAGAGTCCTGCCGCCTTCGCTGAATGACTAGGAGGCAGGCGGACAGGCAACTTCTGTGTCTCTTTAATATCCCCAGGCCCGTCCAACCCCAGCTCCGCCCCCACATCTCCCTCTCCACCTCCCGCCGCCTTTAAGGGTGAGCCCCCTCCCCCAGCCCAAGGACTAAGGCACCAGGTGGCTGCAGCGGGCCAGCCAGGACACAGAGACGCACAGACGGAGGACACACTGACTGCAGACGCAGACAAGCAGGCGGGCAAGGGAGGCAGGGATCAGGCCGTCGCGGGGCTCCCGCAGCCTCTGGGCCCGTCCTGGAGGCGTGGGTGGCCCAGACAGCCCCCGAAGGAAACCAGTCGGGAGGAACCGGGGAGCCACGGCGGGGCGGGATCCTCACTTGCCGCCCTTGCGGGACAGACACCGCGGGAGGCAAGAGAAAGTCTGCTTGACGCGCGCCAGCAGCGGCAGCGGCCGGTGGGCCTCCCGGGGCGTGCGCGGTACCAGGCGCTGCAAGGTTCCCTCGGAGGCGGCCGAGCGCGGCGCGGCGGAGGCGGCCGAGGTCGTGGAGCCCTGCCGGCAGCGCTTGCACAGCGGCAGCAGCGCGCGCAGCTCCTCCTCGTCGCGGAACGGGCTCTTGCCGAAGCGCTCCTCCAGCTGCTGGCGAAGCTGCGGGGGGAGGGGTGTGGACGGGGTCAACGCTTGCCAGAGGCGGGGCTAAGACGGACGGCCCCGCCCCCTCTATCCTCAAGACCCCGCCCCACACCTCGCTAAGCCCCTCCCCTTCCTGAGCATCCTCTTTACCTCCCTTCTGGGGTTGCCATCCCCTCACTGAGTCCCCCTTCTCCTCTATAAGGCCCTTCCCTCTTCCTGAACCCCCCTTTCCCTTTGACACTCCATCTTCCAGACCTGCAGAAGTGACCCCCCCACCTGCACAGTGAGGACCACATTAACCAGCCCCCACCCCCACACCACGCGCCTCTGCGTTCATGTCTGTGGTCATAACTCAGCTCACAGCTCTTTCCTAATGCAGCCCTGCAGGTAAGCCTCTGGGTACCGCCCTGCCTCATGCCGAGAGCCTCCCCCCCCCCCCCCCTTTGTCCCCAGGGAGCCCTCCAGTCCTGACACTTCCGTGGGCCATCTGCCCGAGAGGTATAAGAGAAGGAGCTGCTTTGGCCTCATCAGGGACCCAGGGTGAAGCAGGACATGGACAGGTCTCTCCCCAGGGTCACTCAGATGCCCTCAGGTGCTAGCAGGAAGAACAGCCAGTGAGGGGTGCTGGGAGGCCCGGTCAAATTGAGGGGCCCACAGTCTGATCTAAAAGCACTCAAATTCTGTATTAAAAAAGAAGACACCTGGCTGTCAAACCAAATACACCTAGGAGCTGGATTAGCTCAAGGGCAACAAGTCTGAAACCCCAGAAAAATCTTCTGCTAGGTCCGAAGCACAGGATAAAATCTTTCCAATCCGTTCTCTGTCCAAGTGGGAGGAAGGGTCTCCCAGCTCTGGCCCAACCCAGCCCCTGTCCCAGTACCTACCTTTAGGGAATTCCCCCAGCCAAACTCTTCAAGCTGCTGCCTAAAGCCAGGGTTGGGGTTGGCGATGGGCCGTGTGGCCTTGATAGCTTCAAGCACGTCCCGCCAGCCTAGCCCCGTCACCGTCATCACATATGCTGTCACGATAGTGGTGCTTCGGGAGATGCCTGCAAAGCTGTGACCCCCAGCAACCCCTCAGGCTTCAGGTAAGATCCAGTCTCCTCCGTGCCCCCTAGGCACCCCACCCCCATTTCAGCTCTGCCCCCCCCCTTGCCTCCTGCACCCCAACCGCAAGGAACCTGCCAGGACCTGTCTTCCCAGCTCCGGGCCTT